GTAAAAATTGCTACAGAATGTCTGTCTTTGGCCCACTGTTCAGTGACATATATGTGTGTGTATATGAGAGAGAGAGAGAAGGCAGCAAATCTTAAGCATACATCTCAACACACCTGCACATTTCTACCAAGAAGGCAATTGTGAGAGTATGAAAGGCAGTTCTGGAAGTGCAACAAATTACTTGCCTTGCTGATTTTTGCTAACAGGTAGCTGTGACTTGGCAAATGCACCCTTTCTGAAACTGGTTTTTAGTTTTGTTAAATGGTCTTTTTACTTTTTCCACTGCAACCCAAACTCATATTTGGCACAGTCTGAACGGAAAAACCCAATTATCAGCCTCCTGCATGGTCTCACTCCCCAGAGATATTAAGCTAAGAAAGCAAAGATAAAGCTATCCCCTGTTGAGGACTAAATTAACTTTCTAATATTTCTGCGCACAACCCTGTGCTTCAGAATAGATGATGACTTCTTTAGTGTTATCACAATTTCCATGTCATACTAAACATCTGGAATTTTATTTCCTTGTTTCTAAAAATCTATCTAGGTGTTATACACCCTAGTAACATTTAGCTCAAGTACTGTCTCTTCCTTAAAATTTTTATCACTTTAGCTCATATGCTCAGTGTTTAAGCATCACGAATAATCACACACTCAACCTTGTGTACCACACACTATTGGGTTGCTAGAAAAATCATGAATTATTCTATGTTTTTCAAGCAAAAATGCGTTATGACTTTTCAAAAAGCCTAATAACACGGAGCTAAGAATGCACTAGGTATAAAGTATATAACTGCTAACATCACCTTCATGTCAACAAGCATAAATTTTGTGTTAGAATTAAGAGCTTTCTAATCCATCCTACAATTGCAAATTATTGATAGTAAAAGCCACCTTTTATTTATCTTTCTGTCCCTCCACAATATTATGTACTCTTGGGAAATACTTTCTTAACTGAAATAGCTGATTGGAGACTTGCAATATTTCAGGGGCTATAGCAATCTAGAGTTTTGTGTTGGAAAACAGAGGTAATAAAATAAAATAAACATTGATATTATTGCATGAGTGTGTTTTCCAGCAGCTGAGGGCATGGCCGCTCCATTGTTTTCTAGAAATATGGGAAGTACTTCACTTGGAAAATATCCAACTACCCAAAAGAGTAGCTCCTCTCTGACTCAGTATACTATGTTGATGCCTTTAAGGATAAGACCTAGGATTATAACTCCTGAGTAAACAAAAATGACAAGTGTGAGAATAAGCTGTTTAGAGTCTGGTTGTAAGAATGCTAGGAACAGATGATAAGATGATACTTAGAATTGAAAGTGAGGTCCGAAAAAGAAACTTTCCAAAAGTCATACATTTAGCTGGGAAAGAATGTAGAAATGATTCTCATGCTAGAACCTAATTCATGTGTTCTCATTTTTTGATTTGTGGTGTGAGAGGCACAGGAACTGAGATTAATTTTCTTTTAAATGTTCTTTTTTTTTTTTTTAAATAGGCTTATAAACTGAAAAGTCAGGGCAAAGAAGAGACACTAAGTGGTACAGTGGCTAAGGGTTTGGACATTGGAACCACACTGTGACATGTACTCACTAGCTGTGCACCTTTGGACTTCTCTGTGCATAAATTGCCTCGTCTTTAAAACTGAGTTATTTAATATATACAACTCACAAAGTAATTATGATTTTGAAATGTGACAATGTCCATAAGTCATCATAAAATAAATTCAACCATTGTTAGTTGTATACTTGAAAATTTTACTAGAGAATACTGAAATGAAGGTGGTAAGGTCTCTAACTTCCAGGAGTTCCTAACTAGACACAGTTCAAAACTTTTGCTGAGGATATCTTACTTTCTTCATAGTTATCACTTTCTTTATGACTTCCACCTCTTCATTCCTTGTTACCTACCAATTCACATCCTATCTAATCTTTAAGGCTTCAATTTTATCTCCTTTGTAAAGCCTTTATAGCCAGACCAGAATGTTGGAACAGCTTTCTCCTTTGAAGTTCTCTAGCACAAGATTATGTTTTGTGCTAATAGAACATTATGGTCCTACTTATTTATTCAATAAAATATCCTGTAATGTGTTTTTCTAGGCAAATTTTCATGTATGTGAAAATTGGGGGGGGGGGAATCACTCACTTAATCACCCCAAATTTGTAATCAGAAAGGTATGACTCATGGGAAGGTCAGATTGCTAAGATGTTATTATAGGCCTATTTATCTTGTAATTCCATAGAAAGCTGATAAAGAATTGACTGCAATGAAGGACTTTTTTATACTTGGTTCTCAAAGAATATATATATATATATAGTGACCCAATCACAAAAGCAAACAAACAAAAAGTAAACCCAGGGCAACACTCATGCCCTGAAAGCAAAGGTTATCCAAACACAATATGGAAAGACTAACAGAGAAGAAAAGACATTCTGGGATATATATATAAAGGATACAGAAATAGAGGATCTATCAAAGACTATAAAACAATACTAAAAATACTAAATGAACTAATGCCAGGTAGATAAAAAACTGATAGGCAAATTCAAGATCTTGTAAGGAGACCCAGGTGGTAAAATTCTTCATCAAAGAGTTTGAAAATATTAAAAGAACATATGCAAAATACTTAATGAAATGAAGATTTATATAGAAATTCATTTAATAGCATTAAACTGGCAGAGGTGAGAATTTCAGAAAAAGAAAAGTTAAAGGTTCAAATCACCTAAACAGAAAAAGGAAAGAAACATAATTTAGGTAAAAATGAGGAAAATATGAGAAATATCAGATTCAATTAGAAGAAGAAATACAGGATGGAGAGTATTCCAGAAGGTGAAGAAGAGAAGGGAGCAACTCCCTATTTAAAGAAATAATAGCTAAGAATTTTCCCAACCAAAGGAATAAAATAAGCATGGATACCCAGGAAATGCACAAAAATTTCAGAATGTGAAATGACTTACACCAGGACATATAATTGTTAAATTGACAAAATTAAAGCACAGGAAGTTTTGCAGGAATACAAATTAAGATTTCCTCAGATTTCACCCCAGTCCACCTTTTTTTTTACATCTTTCTTCATTTTGTGCATTTTTCCATCCAGTCCACATTAAAGCAAGGAGAGAACAGAATGAAATATTCACAGTCCTGAAAGACAAGAACTGACAATAAAGAATACTCTATCCTACAAATAATCATTCAAATATGACGATAATACTTTCCCAGATAAACAGAAGTTGCACAACAAGAAATATTCAAAGTACTACAAGAAAAAAATGAAACAAAAATGCCTGAGCAATGACAATAGGAATACAAAAATCAAAGCGCTGTGAGAGTTCTTGACTCAACAACAAAATCGAAGAAAAGGATACGACCTTTATAATAAAATACTGGAGAGCTGACACCAGCTCATGAAGGACTTTTTAGACAGTAAATTTGGTGTAACCCCCATAGTAATCACCAACCAAAAATCCAGAATAGAAGCACACAAGAGAAAGGCAGACACTGGGAGAATCACTAACAAAAGCCATCCAAATGAAAGAGCAGAAATAAATAAATTTTCAATTCAGAAATATAAAACTATCAAAAAACAAAAACAGACCCTCCCTGGTGGTGCAGCAGGTTAAAACACAGCACTAAGAAGCTAATGCCACTTCAGCAGGTGATCCACATGGCGCGGCAGACCTCTCCTGACCCGCCCACTGCTCCCCTCAGAGGTGTACTTCATAGATCTGCCTGTTCTGCTTCCCACTCTGTCTCTGGTGTATCCTTTCACTGCCCCTGCACCTCTGGCCTTTACCCCAGTTCTGTAAGCATAAATAAATAAATCTTTAAAAACAAACAAAACCAAAAACGAAGTGATAACAAATAGCATTTATCAATTAACTAGCAAGCTGATAATAGATCTGAGGCATATAGAAAGGTAGGAGAGGTGGTAAGGGAGTCAAAATAGGGGAGGGAGGGACACAAGGGAATATGGTGACAGTTCACAGGTGATACGGTGGCAGTAGAACTATAGGGCTACTATTATGTAAGAAAAAATGATTTTAAAAAAGTTTAAAAAACAACAACAAAGTGTTGGGCAATATGGATAACCACATGTGAAAAAAGAGGGTATATGGCACAATAACTTAAATTTCTGCTTCTATAAAAATTCTCAGGATGGGCCCTCCCTGGTGATGCAGCGGGTTGAAGCGCTGCACT